CGTTGTACTTGTATTCCAAAGCGCAATTACAGGACTTGGCAAAAAGCCAAGAGAGCTGCACGCGCGCGCGGATGGTGTTAGCATAAACGTGAGGGCGGTGTAGCAAGGAATTACGACTTTCCCACGGCCCCGTACTCTGACCCCGTGCAGTTTTGGGCGGGGGGACCACGACACATCGACAGCTGGGGGCTGATAGTCTCATACACCCTCAATGTGTTTGAGCGTACCATGTGTCTTTAAATGGTGTATATTCAGGGTTTACACATTATCGGCTAATGCCGTTTGGACTCCAGAAATTTCGGCTCCGAGCTCATTTTCAAATTGCCTAAGCCACCAAATCCACTAAAAACTTGTAGGGGTAATTCAACATCCTGATTACGAGTATGACACTCATTCTTGGCGCTGGCGCCAAGAGAGGACACTACGATTACCTCCTGGGCTCAGCCTTAGCAGAGCGCAGGTAACCGTAGTGTCATCCATTAGCGCCAGCGCCAAAAATGAATGTCATATTCGTGATCAGGATGTTGAATTACCCCTATATACTTTTTTAGCGGATTTGGTGATCTTGCCACTTTTAAAATGAGCTCGGAGCCGAAATTTCTGGAGTCCAAACGGCATTAGCCCACATTATCAAGGACACAATTTCTGTAGTCCAAACGTCATTAGCCCACATTATCAAGGACTAGGAGCACAAGAGGGTGATATTCTTAGAACTACAAAAAGGTGCCCTCACTAATAGATCTGGTCCACAAACTACCTCTGGGTGAGAGTCCATCGCGCTACCCACCACACCTTCCCTCACTGAGATAGAGTAGATGCGGGAGTTAAGAGAAACATGCGGGAATCACGAAGAAACTTCACCGTACCACCTCGACCTTATTTCTGTATTGTTTTCCATGCCTGGTTGGAAAACTCCCCAAAATCTATTCATACTCAGCGCTACAACTAGAGCGGAACTTCATAAGGTGTTTAAAACAGCTCTTTTTTGTAGATTTTTTTTTCAAATTTTTTTT